GATTCCCTTGCCTCAGCCTCCCCAGTAGTTGGGACTACAGGTGCCCGCCACAATGCCCAGCTATTTTTAGAGGCAGGGTCTGGTTCTTGCTCAGGCTGTTCTTTAACTCCTGAGCTCAGGCAATCCACCTCCCTTGGCCTCCCAGAGTGCTAGGATTATAGGCGTGAGCCACCGAGTCTGGCTACCACTGTGGTTTCTGGTGGGAGCTTTCTTTCTGGCTTGCAGATGGTAGTCTTCTTGTCGTTGTGTCCTCACTATTGGGGTTGGGGCAGAGAAAAACAGAGAACAAATAGGCTCTCTGGTCTCTTCTTACAGGACACAATCTTATTTATAAAATAATAATATTTCTCATTTTAAAATAATGGAGATTGAGTGATAATGAACTTCTTGGACACTTTTTAAGATCCAAAGACAGTGGCTAAATTCACATTACAACAACCCTGAAAAGGGGGTCAGAACTGGGGCTTGATCTGGATTGTCTCTTAGTTTCATTCTTTCTTCTTCTTCTTCTTTTTTTTTTTTTTTTTTTTTTTTTTTTGTTTCTTAGTTTCTTTAAGATATTGGGAACATCACTCAAACTCTCTGGGGCTTCTGTTCCACTTAGGGTTCTTAAATTTGATACGAGTAACAGAAACTCATATGGCTAACTTTAGCCAAAGAGGCTTTATTGGAAAGATAATTTTTAGACTCACGAATGCTGGAAAAGTTGAAAACCAGGTTTGGAAATGGTCAAGAACCAAGCATCTAGTTAACTTGAACTAAAAGGACATTGGGATGCTACTATGGAGGACTAAATGCAGAGGAGTCGAGCAAACCCCATTCACGCACCACTGCTTTCCTTCTCACTTCTAACAGGACAATCTGTAGGAAGCCTTCTAACTCTGACATCCTTTGCTTTTGTGTGTGGAGAACAGTGAGCAAGAGTGTTGCACATGCAAACAAGGTGGTCAGAGAAACCTGGGCCGGATGTGCAGCTGAAGGCTGGGCCACCACAGCAGCACCGAGGCTGAACAGTTTGGTGTGCTACAAACAGGAAGTAAAAGAGAGCTTAAGCAAGCCAGGTGATCGGGTAGACAGATTGTGAGGAACAGGCACAAATGACATTTCCAACAAGCACTGGAAGCTTCCAAATGCTCCCAACAGTTACTGCCTTTAAAAACAGGACAATCTCAATTCTGTGAAAGACATTGTGATAGGAAGACACTTTCCTTATGCTTATGAAATGAGAGAGAGCACTTGGCACTGACGACGTGAGCTTCATATCTGAAGGGAACACACTGCTAAACCACAGATCGCCTCTGAAATCAAGTTATAAACCGGCAGCATATAGGTCAGCTATGGCATGTAGAAAATTAGTTACTGTCTTCATCTGATTTGTGCTGCTATAACAAAATACTAGAGACTGGGTAATTTGTAAGGAACAGAAGTTTATTTCTCACAGTTCTAGAGGCTGGGAAGTCCAAGATTGAGGGGCTGACATCTGATGAGGGTCTTCTTGCTGCATCATAAAATGGCAGAAGGCATCTCATGAGGGAGGGGAAAGGGGGCTGCTGGAACTCCTTTTCATCAACAGACCACTCCTGCATTATCAGCATTAATTCATTCATGAGGGTGGAGGCTTCCTATACTAATCATCTCTTAAAGTTCCATCTTTCAGGTTTGGTGCCTGTAGCACAATGGTTACAGCACTGGCCACATATACTGAAGCTGGTGGGTTTGAACCCAGCCCAGGCCAGCTAAAACGATGACAACTGCAATAAAAAGTAGCCAGGAGTTGTGCCAAGTGCCTGTAGTCCCAGCTACTTGGGAGGCTGAAGCAAGAGAATTGCTTAAGTCCAAGAGTTGGAGGATGCTGTGAGCTGTCATGCCACAGCACTCTACCAAGGGTGACACAGTGAGATTCTGTCTCAAAAAAAAAAAAAAAAAGAAAAGAAAAAGTTCCATCTTTCAATACTGTTTCACTGGGGATTTTATTTCCAAAACATGAACTTTGGGGGATACATTCAAACTGTAGCAGTTACCAAAGAGAAAAATGCAGATTTCATATTTCTCTTGGGGAAGAACAAGAAAAGGTCTGCAACACCAGGCCGGTATTCCCATGTAGCAATAGCTGCCTACTACCTTTTGTTGGGGTATTGGCTCTGGACATTGCCATTCCCTTTCCATGGCTCCCTTTACTTATAACATTACCTGCCTGGAAGCACTGGTAATGGAACCTGGAAGCACTCACGTTTCTGATCCTTGATATCACTATTTCCATGGCAATCACCCATGCTACTACTGCCCCTTAGTGAGTTTCCTCTGGACCTACCCAATGCCATCTGGATGCTAGTCCTCACACACTTCTTTCCCTGAACTCCAGCACCCAAGGGTAGAGTGTGGGCTGCCACCTTGAAGGCTACCTGCATAGGTTAGTGGAGTGACCTTTGCTTTTTATTTATTTATTTATTTTTTGAGGTAGAGCCTCAAGCACCACAGCTCACAGCAACCTCCAACTCCTGGGCTTAAGTGATTTTCCTGCTTCTGCCTCCCTAGTAGCTGGGATTACAGGCGCCAGCCACAACGCCCAGCTATCTTTTGGTTGCAGCTGTCATTGTTGTTTGGTGCCCGGGCTAGATTCAAACCTGCCAGCTGAGAGGTGTATGTGGCTGGCACCTTAGCCACTTGAGCCAGTCACCGAGCCTGACCTCTGCTTTTGGAACCCCAGGATCAGGATCTCTTCACTCCTAGTTACTACCTGTAACTAATGGAAACAACCATTTATAGTACCTTTACCAAGCCACATCTGTCTTTTTGGTCAGAGCCAATTTTTAAAGAAATGTTTCCCCAAATGACTTTAATTACCTGATTTTAATTACCTGATAGTGGAAGCAAAGAATCCCATCTAATGGTCTAAAATGCAGAGGAAAAACCAACAATGATACATCTGAAAGAACTACTTCTGTATGACTTCTTTGAAGACAACTTCTGAGAAAAGTCATCCTTTAGGATCTAGTGAGAATAGCTGTGGATAAGCTGGACTCTAATTATGCTACTGCTGCTCCTTACTGAGTTTCCCCTGTACCTACCCAGTGCCATCTGGAAGCTAGTCCTCACACACTTCTTTCCCTGAACTCCAGCACACAATGTATGATACAATGTATGATTCATTGTGGACTTTGTTGGATATATTTTCTACAAAGCTTCCACATTTCTTGTCTAAATCTCCCATAGATGGCTTCAAGTCGCTTTTAGGGTCAACATTAAAATGCTTAGAGCAGTTTACAATTCTTCCATTGTTTTGATTCTTTTTTTTAATCTCTCAGGCTTCACCTCCTAATCTTCCCTGATTCACTTCACTTTGACCACTTGGATTTTCTTTCAATTTAAGGAAGAAGCCCAGCTTGACACTTACTATTCCCACTCATGGGGGCTTCTCTTCCTTCTCACCTTTCCCCCCATATCATGCCATCATTCAGGCCCCAGCTTTTAAATGCCAGCTGTCAGAGACGCCTTCCCTACCTCCCATCTTGCTCACACTCTCCAACTCCCCATCCTCATTTCTCAGAGTCCCCTGCCTTCTTTCTGTTGCTTTTAATGCAATTTATCTATTTGTCCTTTATTCTGCAAACTCTCAGAGCAGAGATACTATCTGTTGGCACCCCCTCTTATTCAGAGTTCGGCATGGTCCCGCCCATAATAGAGTAGGTGAGCAATACTTGTCTGTTAAATGAATGAATGAAAAACCCGTATTCCATCCCTTAGGTCAGCTTAACACCATACTGTATGATCTACTGGACTGAATAAGACATTCTTTCTTAAGAAAAATATTTTTATTTTAGCCTCCCATAAGCAAATCTATGATGGTGTATCATAAACCTATTGGAGAGGAAAGCTATTAACCTTTAGGTTCCTAAAGTAGCACTAGGAACTTATTAGAAACGCAAAATTTCAGGCATTATTCCAGACCAAGGAATCCGAAAACTCTGGGGGTGTGGCTCAGCAATCTGTGTTTTAACTGCCTTCCAGGTGAGGTGGTTCCTTCCCATACTGCCTTCCGCTTGCAGTTATCAACTTTTAAATTGTTTTTCCTGGCCTTAATCCTTGGTATTATCCTGATAGCAGGATCATACTACTCTAAGAGGGAAATTTTTGTTATCCCCCAAAGCCTTGAATGAAGACGTATTTGTGTATGTTACGCAGGATACATTCCTGAGGTCTGCCTTCCTTGTGCACACAGGCCTGCCCGGGGGTGAGGTGGGGCTTCAACAGTGCACAAGAGTAACAGAATAAAACCTCAGAACAAAGGCCGCGGACCAGGGCGCAAGTCTTTGTTTATACGTTCCCCAACTGCTCAACCTCGTCTGATACCGCTCTTTTCCACCCAGAAGAGCGGTCACTCAAGTTATAAGAATGGCTGCAAGCCGCTGACAACGTTTTCAATTAGGCGTTTTTTTGGCGGCACTGGACAAGCTATTCCTAGCTGCAGGAGGCGCTTCCACCCCTTAATCTAGCACAGAGGTAACTGAAACTAACCCAAACGCTGGAAGCGAAAAGCCCTTTCTCGCTTCAGAAGACCTGGAAGCTCGGGCGAACTTGCCCGCCTCCACCCTCCTGGAAAACCCGAGGTGGATTACTCTAAGCAGGCCGGCGGCCGCACCTCAGCGCGCATGCTCCATCGCCCCTCCCGCTCGGAGCCGGAAGGGGGAGCGCTTCGGGCCTGGGCCTGGCCTGGCCCGGGCGTCGGCACCGGCGGCCATCTTGGCTTCCCGGGGAAAGGCGGCGCGAGGGGAAGAAGTTGTAGGGTGGGGGCAGGAGTGAGGAGGAGGGAAGTGAGAGGGGGAGGAGGCCGTGGCGGGGCAGGGCGGGGACTGCCTGCCTGCCTGGGTTGCGGAAGTGCTAGCCGCTGACCCAGCCTGCTGCTCTCTTGCTACTGCTTCGGATTCCCGGCTACCCCCCGGACGGTGAGGGCGGCCCGGCAGTGGATGGTCAGATAGCCTCTATCTCCTGCCGCTAATCTCTGGCCCCTACCAGCACGGAGCAGACAGTGGCAGCAGCAGCAGCAGGAGAGGAGGAAGATGGCGGGACGGCTGCCGGCCTGTGTGGTGGACTGTGGCACGGGGTAAGGGGGCTGATGGGCTGCGGTGGGGAAACTGAGGCGGAGGAAGGAAAATGGCGGGGGAGGGCGGAGGCCGAGAGATGAATGGGGCGCCGAGGTGCGGCCGCCGGCTGTCAGTCTCAGACCCGCCGGCTAGCGAGGGGTGGGGCCCGGAGCCAGGGCCTCCCTCGTGCACCCGCTTCACCCTCCTGGGACTGGGGCGCAGGTCCAAGATCCACCCCCTCCCCCAGAAGCAGCTTCCTTCGCGCGACCCCTCCCTGCCCTTCCCCCACTGCGGTGGGCAGCACCACCCAGAGAGAGGTGGGGACGGTCCCCTTCCCCAGGGCCGCGGTCGCCCTGGTGGTGGTCGCTGTGTTCGACCCACCCAGCCTTTCCTTCCGCGCCCCTTTCTGCCCGTGGGATTGGGGACCTAGTGGATGAGCGCCGGGACCGGCCTGGCTCAGGAGGGAGAAAAGAGAAGCGCTCCTTGTAGGTTTTGCAAGATTGCTCTGACAACACTGCTCAGGGTGTGGGTGGGGAAAGGGAAGAATCGGACTCTGAAAATGGGAACCTAGAGTGGGGCTTTCGTTTGACCACCCACCTTCTCTTTTCGACTCCTGGCCACTTCCATCTCCCTCTTCGTTTTTTACCAGTGAACCAAGTCACATTTTAATTCGAGAGAGAAAGATGTCATGTGTTACTTCTTTAGCCTCAAAAAAGTCCCCCAGTGAGCAAGCGCGCTGCAACTTCCTTAGTTTTGTCAAAGCCGCTTCCTGCTTTCAATCTTTTATACCCTTATAAGGTAGTTTTTCGTTTCCAACCTGGACCCATTTTACTAGAACTTTCAAAATTAAGCAGGTTTTAAAAGGAATGAGTTACTAGTGCTAGTTATCAATTTTAAGTTTATGTGAACTTAAAAAAAATATACTGTGTTCCAGGGGAGGGGAGAAGTGAAGCACCCAGGAAAATCAAATAATTTAAGTTGTGTATGTTCATTCTCTGACGGTATCTTGAGGCAGGAAGGGAAGGTATAGAGGTATAAAGGAATGTGTTTATTGCAAGTAGCTTGTGATGAATCTGTAGTGTAGCGTACTAAAATATAGGATGGCTTTAAAGTGGTCATTCATTTTGCATTAATAGACACATTTTAGAGTTATACCACACTCTGCTTACACAGAATAGAATGACTGTTTTATGTTAAAATGTTTTTCTTCTTCCTTTCCTTTACTTACCTCCCCTTCCCCTTCTCTTTCTCCTTTTTTTTCTATCTTTCGCTGATTACATCTCTTTAATTCTTAGAACACTCCCAACTTTTTGCGGGGGAGAGTGGTGGTGGGGTGGATTGCAAGCCTTTTCTTTTCTTATTCACCCTATAATTCTACAAGGATTTTATGTCCTTCGCTTTTTAGTTGTTTCTTTGTAAAATGTTTTTAATCTTCGTTCTCCTTAAGTTTAGCTAGTGTGGCAGTTTCTAAGATCCCAGTTAGGCAGAGGTAGATAACTGACTTCTTAAAAACAGTTTCCCGTGGAAAACGCTACCCTACAGGAGGCTTGGAACGTCTATGTATTTTTTGATGTATTTTCTTAAGCCGGTCTCCTTTGCCTGAACCAGTGTTTGTTTGTTTTTTTTCTTCTTTCTTTTTCTTTTAGGTTAAGTGTGTAGTTTTATGTTTAGGGTCAGTTTAAAATTAAGTGTAGCCTCAATGAGTAGGACTTCTCAAGTGTGTAAAGTGACCAATACTGCTTTATGATTAATAATGCTTTAGAAATGATTGAGTTGTCAATAAATAATAGTGTAAATAATTGTTGCCTTAATACATAACATCTTATGTAGGATGTTACTTTTTCTGTTTCCGTTTTTCTCCTTTTGAAATTGTCTTGGTTATTTTTGAATTAGTATATTAGATATATCATTGAGGTTATCTGTCCTTAAGGGACCTCTTTTCTGAAAGGGCAATCTTGAATTTAAAGCATGCCGAGTGACCAGTAGAGCGGGGAGACAGTTCAGTCTGTATTTGGGATATTTCTGTTTTACTATTTCACTTATTAACAGTACTACATTTTTATGTTATTACTTTAGTCTTGCCACACAAGAAGTTAACTGGACATTCATTTTGATGTAAATGTAACTGATTAGGAGTTTCCTTATAACTTCATGATGTTTTATCATCTGTGACAGTCTGAAATTCCCCCTTTAGAGTTTTCATTTCTTTTTGGTCTTTCCAGTTGCCTCTTAATTGCTAAAGTTATACCTTTTTATTACCACATGGAG